ACATTTGCTGCACCTGTAGCTGCTTCTCTTTCCTGCCAGAATGTTGTGGAGAGGATGGTTGATATTGTCTAAGATGGCCTCCATCTTACATTCCATGTGTCTCTCCACAACAGTCCTGAGTCAGTCCAAACTCCTGCCAAGCACAGACCCAGCCTGTTTTATCAACTTGTCCAGTCTCTTTGTGCTCATGTCTGACATGCTGCTGCCCCAGCAGACTGCAGCATAAAAGAGTATACTGACCACTACTGAATGATAAAACATGTGCAGCATTTCACTGCAGACGTCAAAGGACCTGAGCCTCCTGAGGAAAAGAGCCAGCTCTGCCTCTTCCGGTAGATGGCATCTGTGTTCAGGAACCAGTCCAGTTTACTGTCCAGGTGCACACCTTGGTATTTATAAGTGTGCACCAACTCAATGTCCTTCCCTTGAATGTTGACTGGCTGAAGGGTGGGCAGAGACATCTAAAAGTCCATGACCATCTCCTTGGTCTTGGAGGTGTTCAGAAGGAGGCAGTTCTTGACGCTCCATTCACTGAAAGCCATTGTCAAATCCCTGTACTCCTCTTCCTGCCCGTTCCTGATACACACCACAATAGCTGTGTCATCCGAGTATTTCTGGATGTGGCAGGACTCAGAGTTGTATTTAAAGTCAGTCGTATACAGGGTGAACAGGAATGGTGCCAGAACAGTCCACTGTGGGGCCCAAATGCTGCTCATCACTGTCCATGAGACACATTTACCCAGCCTGACGTACTGTGGTCATCTTGTCAGGTAATCCACAATCCAGGATGTTAAGCAGGGATCCACCCCCATCCCTTCCAGTTTGTCTTTAAGAATGGGGGGTTGGATGGTGTTAAATGCACTTGAGAAATCAAAGAACATAATCCTCATTTAACTACCTGGCTCATCCAAGTAAGAATGGGCCTGGTGGAGCATGTAAAGGATGGCATAATCCACTCCAATATGTTCTTTTTAGGCAAACTGTAGGGGGTCAAGTGCATGTTCAACCTGTGGCTTCAGAAGGCGGAGAAGCAGCTGCTCCAGGGTCTTCATGTGTGATGTGAGGGCCACCAGTCTGTAGTCATTTATCTCAACCGGTCGTCATACTTTAGGGACCGGAACAAGACATGATGTTTTCCACAGGACCAGGACCCTCCCTGTTTGTAGGCTTAAGTTAAAGAGCCTCTGGAGAGGCTCAGCCAACTGGGCTGCACAGTCCTTTAACAGCCTTGGACACACACCATCCAGGCCTGTTGCCTTTCCAGGATGTAGCCTCTTGAGCTCTGCCCTCACCTCCTCCACTGCAAAGGACAGGAGACTTGACCCCAGTGTGGAGGGAGTTGCAGATGCAGTGTCAGGTTGTGAAGGAGATGCCATAGGAGAAGCTGCTGCTGAAGCAGTGGGAGAGAGAACAGGTGAGGCTGTGTCAAACCTGTTATAGAACAGGTTGAACTCATTGGCCTTGTCCACATCACCTGGTGTTGCCTGGCCGTTCTTCTCTTTATAGCCAGTGATGCTCCTCATCCCCTTCTGCAGCTGCAGCTTCCTCTCTACTTTCTTTTTGTGGTCCTCTTTCACCTGCTTTAATCTCCACTTCAGCTCATGTTGCACACACCTGAGCTTCTCCCTGTCTCCATCCCTGAAGGCCTCCTTTTTCTGGTTGAGGAGGGTCTTGATGTTACTGGTGATCCAGGGTTTGTTGTTTGGAAAGCAGTGTATAGTCCTTGCCTGTATTACAGTGTCCATACAGAAGTTAATGTAGTCTCCAACAGTACATTCCAATCTGTCCACTCAAAACTTTCTTTTAGACACTCACTGGCCTCCGGTGTCCAGTTCCTGAATGAGCAGGTGGTTGCAGCCTGCCTCAGTACACAGGGCTTGTAGGAAGGCTGAAGTAAAACCAGATTATGATCTTATCTGCCAAGTGGTGGTAAAGCTGAAGCAGTGTAGGCCTCCTTGACATTTGCATAAAAAAGATGAAGTGTTTTATTTTCTCTTGTGGGACAGTCAACACTGTTGCTCTGGCATCTCTGTCCGCTCGTACTGCAATGAAGCCGGGTAAATCAACAAAATGTTTTTTTTCATTTAACCAGGTCTCCGTGAAACACATGAGATTACACTCACGATATGTTCACTGGTTCTTCACAAGTGCCTCCAGTTCATCACACTTGTCTGCCAGGGAGTTTCCCATGAGGATCAATGGTAGAAAAGGCTTATATCTCCATCTCCTAGCCTTTAGCTTAGCCCCTGCCTCCACGGTATGGTATCTTCAGCTCAGCTGGTATGGGATATTTAACTCCATATCTGGTAAATTTTAAAGCCAGGAGTTCTTCCTTTGTGTACATTATTTTTTCCATCATCAGAAGAAATGATGTAGTAGAATAAAAGAAACATCAATCGACAAAAAAATATACCAATATATACAAATATATTGTCAAAAACTACGAGCTATGTGGACTTGCTGGTACTTGTTGCCAGCGCATTATTTGAATTATAGTGGACATACCTGGTTTGGCATCAGTCACAAGTCATTAAAGAAGTTCATTGTAGACATGCAGAGTTATGGATCCAAAATTGACAATTTGTTACTCTTCCCACCATCAAACTATCAAATTGATAGGAAACAGAGACAAAAGACCATTCTCTCACAAACAGACCATGCTTTTAGCAGGTTCAGAGGGATGCACACGCAGACCATGGGCCAAAGGGTCAGCTCCAGGGGATCAATGAATGGACACCAGGCAAACTGGAGAGCAAAGGCAAAATCTCCAGTTTGTAACAGTAAGACTTTATGAATTTATATTTGATTGTTTCTTATATAGAAAAGTAACACCAAAAGGACTGATTATCACTAAGGTGTGAATCCTGGCCTCTCTGCACCATGAATACACACACACACACACACACACACACACACACACACACACACACACACACACACCAACCTCCCTTTACTCCGCCCCTCTTTGGATAAGAGTCATAAACTATAACCCATATTTTAATCCTGAGTAGTGACCAGCAACACTCTTCACAGACACAGATTTGAGGAAGAATATACTATTAAATATCTAACTGTTCTGTAACTCATGTGATGTTTCTTTGTAATAGGTCAATCCCAAACTTCTATCCTATAGAATGGTTGAAATGTAATGTACGTAGGTAAGCTGTAGAATTAAACAATTCAAAAGTTCCATGGAAAATTACTCTCTTCTCCAATTTGAAACACAGGACACCCCTTAAACGCACGCCCATGCCCGCCCCCAGGGGATAGAACAGTTGTGATCAGTTCACACATGGCCTAGGCTCTAAGTTATTAGCTCTTAGCAACAGCTCTTAGCTCCTAGCTTTAAGCCACGGCTCTTAGCCATTTTGCACTTCATCAGTCCGTCAGTGTCCTTTGTTCTTTCTTTGCCACATGCTCCAAGTAACATTCTTTTTGGCTACACACGCGATCTTCTATTTTTATAAGCCAAGTCAAAACCAACTGAACCAAAACAGTAGAAGTACCTCAGAGTCATTATGTAACTTTTAATCATTATTACGTTTTCCTTTTTGAAGATTTTTGACAGTTTTAGTCAATCTGGTCAACGCCAGTCTCCTCTGAATTTAAGTGGCTCCTCCAGCCAAAGTTAAGTGCATTAAAGTTTATTTCACAATTACCTGCAAGAGAAGTTGGCAGATAACAAATCTGCCCACGACAGAAAGTCTACTGGAAAACTCCACCAGAGCTGAACCACTGAGACACTGGCAGAATCTGTCAGTGATAACAGGACACAGCCTCCAGGAGAATCCACTTAGATCCCCAGACAATTGTTTTGCATTGCTTACCTTGCTGTGAACCAACAGCTTGACCAATGATGTTAGAGAGGAATGCGGAAAGCGCAATGCTCATCATCACCCCTCTTGACAGATAATGGTCTTGAGAAGCTACATGATGTCTGCAATAACTTTTGCCAGTAATCACCAAATAACCCAGCAATGTCAGCTACATGATTGCCTTAGTTATGGAAGCTAGTCTCCATGTCAATATTGTTTTATTAGACTAATAGAAATAATGTTACACTTTTATGGCCTGCCATCAGGAAGTCTCTCAATAACTGGCCTAGATTTAATAGTACATAGTGAAGATGGAGGTACAGTATTATTGATAGCAAGGGGGCCAAGCTTCTAATGTAATGCAGCAGTGTTTTATTGTGTAGCCTGTTCATGTGCAGCTGAATGACCATGACACATCATGTCTGTTTTGAAAATGAAAGCAATTTACTGTTCTGAAAGACTGTTGAAAGACTGTTCTTAACAATTAGAAAGATCAGGGGTATAGAAGCATAGTGTGCACTGCCTCATCAAAGGGTTTGTTCACTCAACATCTCAAAAACTAAAACAATTGTAGATATTGAAAACCAAAATCCCTGAGTAAGAAAAAGAAGAAGCATTGGACCTTTGTAAGGAATATCTTATCATTTAGCAGAAGCAGTACTTCTGCAGCCAGAGCCATGGCAGCCCTTTCCAGGTACAGAAGGATATCACCTCAGTTCAACACAGAGCACTGAACATAGAGGTGGACCACAGAATACACTAAACTGAACTGTTGTCCATTTCAGGGCAAAGACCTTGAAAGACCAGTGCTGCAGACAGTCCAGCCACCTCTTGATTTATTTGTAATAAGTGACTTTAAACATGAAACAGACGAGATCTAAAAGGCAATGATCAGGGGTTAAAGTGAGCCGGAATGATCCGGAACAGCAACACCTGATAATAATAAGTAAATAAATCCGTCTAAAGAGAGAGGAACACAGGCAGGACAGGAACTCCTCCCATCAGGGCAATGGTCCTTTGAACTCCATTTTTGCAAGAGAAGTGACAGCCGCTTATCCAGCAACACATAAATAGCTTCTGCCCCATCTGCCACATCCCACTTTAACCCCTGGCAACAATCAGTCACCTACACCAAACAACCTGAACAGCATGTGAAAAGTTACAGTAGAAAACTGTTGTACTTACAGGATTGGGCAGTCCTGCCCTCAATAGCCTGAGTAAAGACTCCTAAACCCATCTCAGATCGTGCTGCCAGGGAAAACATGTAGAGTGTATCTGACTTGAGACCATCAACTGCATAGGAGCCTGCAGGGTTGAAAGTGACACGATGCTGTGGAGAGATGAAAAGTACGAAACCATAAAGACCATGGTACATACACATGTATAAACATACACACGAATGATCGTTGTCACAGAATATATTATCTATTGGATGAACTTTTATAATCTGGGTTTTCATTTGTTCCAGAATTCAATTCAAAACCAACAAAATCTTTTTGTGTGCTTCCTGAGATAAAACTCGTCATCTAATCAATCTGATTAGATGACGAGTTAGGTAGTTTAGGGTCTAGAACATGGACTTGTTTGTTGTAAGACTGTTGGTGGGAAATAAAGGGAAAACATGCAAATCAGCAATACAACATATACATACACAATATGCACGCATACTATACACACGGTCCATGCATAAATATAAAGCCTTTAAATATACCAAATAAAGAAACACATTTCAGAACTAAAATCCATCCCATCAAACTATGATACTGAATGGACAATGTTTTTAAGGTAGAGTTACCTTGTCTGTGGGATTGTTCACCTCCCAGTAGAGCAGTTCAAAGCTGATGATAGGATCTTGGACAGGCCAGAGCCATGATAGCATGATGCGTGAATCCAGCTCAGCCTCTGCCTCAAAACCAGATAGTTGAGCTGGAACTGGAGGCAGAAATAAATAGATGAAGAGTTTAAGAGAGACAGACAGTGAGGGATTTATTCAAAAATGCAAATACAAAACTAGAGAGTCAAGCTGTGAAGAGGGAGTGAGTACAGGGAAGTCAGGTATTAGGTGACATGCTGCAGTGAATATTCATCAATATTCAAAACAGCAACCAAGTTGAGAAAATAGAAATCATCACCTTAAAATGCTCTCAGATGATGTCAACTAAGATGTCAAATTCACTAACATGTTTCTCTTGGCCATGACTGCCAGACTTTACAGGTGTGTTGTGCTGTCAGTTACAACAGCCAGAAATCCTAATTATGACAAGTAGGGTGGAGCTGAGGTGAAACTCATGTCAATCCAGCAAACACACTCCCAGATGCATTAAACTTCTCTTTATATATGTGTGTATATATATATATATATATATATATATATATATATACACACATATATATTATATACTTTTAACCTCTATATATATATATATACACACACATATATATTATATACTTTTTTTATATTTAAGATCTCCTCCACACATGTTTCAAGACATGAAAAAAATACTGCTTTGACTAATAACGTCTGTCTGATGGTTTTTTCACAAACCTTTCCTCATTTTAGGTAGTTTCTATTAAAAATAGTTGGCAACACCAGCACCAAACAACAGGCAGACAAAGTTAATGAGTAGCCAGTGAACTTAATGTCACATTTAGACAGTTAAAAAAGAGCACAGGCATCAAATCAGTTGTTGGTATTAGCCGATTACGCTTGAGTTCTGGTATAGAAATCAAAATTGTAAAAAATACGTGTGACTAGCATCCCGGCTTTATATAGACGTTGAATCTACAGTATGACTTCAAGATCAGTGAGGATGAGACTGTGTCCTGTTACAGCGCCACTATTTTGTATAAACAACTGCTTCTTAGAACAGATTTTGGTAAAGATGTTACTTCTACTAATATAATATGCCACAAAAAAATGACAACTTGCAACTTAATTGCAACAATGTGATGATGAAACAACGTGTACAAACAGCCAATCCTACTCAGTCTAAGAGTAGTTACAAGACTTTGTTATATGCATTCCAGTAAAAATTATTTATGTGAGCCTGGAAGGGTGCTGAACTCTATTCCACAAATAAATATAATGGGTCGGCTGACTCGGGGTGGCTTTATCTTCCATTGCAGCTCTGGTATGATGTCATGTTTTTTCTATCCATGCAAAGTAAGCTGAGAACACTGAAAAACTGTCCCTCTGAATGAAATATTCCTGTATGTGTAGTCAGCCACTTTGTCCTTGAGTATAAAGTGTGTGAGACCTTCAAATTAGACACACAAAAACCCACACATACTGTACCTGAATATCCTTGTACAATAAATTACCCACTGTGTTCACCTCAGCTGTGGAATATTTGACAGATTAATGTTTCACATTACAGCGCTGTTTTTCTGCAATTTCAAACTGATGCGAGTGTAACAAAGTGTGAGTAAATGTATCCAGACCTGGCTGTCTGGGGACTGCTGCTACAAATAAGTTCTTGCAGTAGCCTACATGTGTAGCTTAGTACAAACAACCTGGCATGAATCTTAACTACACAACTCTCAAATTGCACAATAATTAATTATTTCATGTTGGTGTCATTTGAGGGAACTACATGCAGTGGTGTAGATGACTTTTAGCTGTAGACTGCTGTTATGTCATACTGCTGTTTTGTTAGTGTTCATATTTCTAATGACCCAGCAGCAGAGGTGCAATGCAACCAAGTTCAGTTACTCTCAGCTTCTTGTTATAGTCTACTGTATTTGCTTCTATACTAACAATAAATCCATGCACTACAAGCAAACTATGACTTTTTAATGTGTTGTGACTGCCAAGAGGAAGCAGAATGGAATAAATGTATTACTCATAAGGAGGTCCACCCATGTCTATTTATTTGTCAGCAGAAATACACAAAAAGTACTGAATCGATTTGCACCAAACTTGGTGGAGGGATGGAACATGGACCAGGTAGGAACTCATTAAAATGATTCAGTTAAAGAGGCAGGTCCAGGAATTGTATTTTTTATCACTTCCTTAACATTGCTAGATAGGGCATTTTCAACACTTTTGTCAATTGCTCAGAAAATTATGTTTGGATCTTGAGATAAAAAAAACACATATATACAGTACATATTTCTGATGTTAGAGCTATGACTTTGTTCAGTTTGGTGCAGATCCAGATAATAATCTGGATAGATGATTATTTAAATTCTTTGAAGCTGTGAGTAGCCCTTCAGTTTCCTGTTAGCATTGCATTGTTAGATAATCAACAGCACAGTATTTTTTTCTATAATACTGTTGTATGAGTATTATTTCATAATTTTTCTAGTGTGAATTCACTACATACCCAAAAACTGCTCAAAGTGAGTCTGTAGTGAGGTTCTGGGCCACAGCTTAAGTTCAATCAAGCTACAGAGCCAGATATTTTTCTCAGGAGTTTGTGAAGAACAAAAACACAGCTACAAGGAGAGTGGATGTTGGCCTTAGGGTGTTTTCATACCTGTAGTTTAGTTGATTTGAACTGGAAAAAATTACACATTGTTGTATTTTAGTTCTGGTCTGGTTTGTGTTCACATTTACTTTTTATAAAAGAACCATAAGTAAACATGATGACATGCAGACTACACTGTAAATGCAAACATTGTCCTGACTTAAGATGAAATAGTGCATTTAACTTAATTCATACTAGTTTTTTAAGTTTACTTACTAACATCAAGTTTTCTGCACTTTTTATATACATACTTGTTTCATTAAGTTATATGAACGTAGTTTTTTTGAGTGTGTGGCATGGTTCGTGGTATGAGGCTTAAGTTACTGAGCTGTGCACCCCAGTGCGCATGTCCATTTCCGGTTAGCGCCATCTACCACTGGAGCAGGGTCAAAGCCAAGCACATGGTCCCAGCGCTCTCACAGCAGTTTTTCTCTAACACTGATTTCGGTAAGTGTGAACCTTTTAATTTTTTGTAAACTTGTCAATATAATGTAATGTTTGGAATGAGAGTTGTTAGAAGAAAGCCGACAACTCCGCAGTCCAACCTTCTGTTGGCATGTTTACTTGTGTGTGTATGCACATGGGTTCACAGAGCAGAAGTTAGCAGCAGCTCAACATGAGCGAATGCTAATAGAAGTGCTTTGACTCGGCCGGTTCCTGTCTGTTAATTTGTTAGCTGTTGTATTAGCGCACGCTGCTAATTTAGCTTTTATCCGCTGCTAATTTAGCTGTGATTTAAGCACGTTTAACATGTTGGGGGGAGGGAGGGTTACGGCTGCGGCTTCCTATTTCACTCCGCAGCAGAACTCTTGCTGGGCTGTAAGAATAATTTCAGGTCAGTCGTCCTGACGGTGTGTGTGTGTGTACGTCAGTAAGGTAAAGGTTTGTTCATTGCCGTGTCTACACGTGGATTCACAGAGCAGACGTTAGCAGCAGCTCAACCTGAGGAATCCGAGTAAAAGTGCTATGACTCTACTTTATTTTTGTGTCTTAATTTGATCTGCAATTGCAAAATTATTACATTAAAAACCTTTGTAAGAAAATAATGATAATGTAACAAAAGTTTTTTGCTATTGTCTTAAAGACAACTGTTTGCTGTTTCCGAAACAGATCCAGATTCCAGACTGTACAGTTCACAAGTAAAGAAGGGAACATCCTCAAAAAAAAAAGTCTTGGATTGTGGCGAACTGTCCTCACCCGAGGAGTAAATCAGGTTTGTTGTTATTCATTTAGGAATTCTTTTCATGACTTCTGTGAAATTATTCATTTATTATTATTGTGCTGCATTTCAAATTTAATCATTTGAATTATTTTATTCATGCTATCAGTAAAATGAGATGTAGGCAAATATAACAAGGTAATACAATTAAATCACTGATACTGCAGCTCATTTGAAATATATTGTATTTTCACATTACCTCAAAATTTAGCAGAGCAAACTCATTTAATGACTGTACAATATAGGTGACTATAATACTTTTTTTTTTCTGTCGCTGCTTTTAAATATAAAATATGTTGACAAATAATACCAATGATAAATAATTTGTAACAGTTTTCTAATCCCAAATTTTTCAACATTAGACATTACAATAGGTAGTCTCTTTTAGTCTAATTTTTTTTTTTTTCAGGTGTCTACTGGAAGAGGGATGCAGTGGACATGTAAGTTCTGCACTTTTGTCTCTCCAAAACGAGGCCAGCTATTAAAGCATTATAGATTAAAGCATGGTGGCTTCACAAGAACCTCCCCAATACCATGCCTTCATCAGCAGTGTATTTGCACATTCAAATCGTTCAATGCCCTGAAGGTTCATTTATCCAGATCTCACTCGCAGGTGACCAGTGAAAAAGATGATGTGCAAACATTTAATTGTCAAGTGTGTGAGTTTAACGAGCCCTGCAGTGAAAATGATTTTTTTACACATTTACACAAGCATCTGAAATTGATGCAAAAAGTGCAGTGCCCCTATCTGGATTGTGACTTTGAGACAAATGTGTACTCTACTTTTAACACACACAAAAGTAGGAAGCATGACCAGACGTATTCAACATCTAGTCTTCAGTTCAAACCAGGAATAGCTGTGCTGCTCTGTGGCACTGAGGAGAGCACCTCTGTCTTAGCTGAACCTGCCCTAGGTGAAGATGACACTAGTTTAGGAGAAGAAGAGCTGACAGGTGTTTGTGTTGATGTCAATGACCTTGACTCTCAGCTTGAGCATAATTTAGCTTCACTTTTCCTGAAAATGCAGACAATACTGAACATATCGGAAAGTGCTCTCCAAGAAATCATCCAGCAAATAGGACAGGTATTTCAACTTTCAGAACCACTGATGTTTTCAGTGGTTGAAGAGATACTCAGACGCCATTACCCTGATATTGATAATGCTGTTGTTAAAGAGGTAGTCTCTGCAGTGACAGACACAAATGTATTTTTGAAACCAACAACAGCTGGAGGCTCACTTTCAA